AACAAATTTTGTTTTTGGCCTTAATATTTTTTTTCGCCCCTAAGTTTATCCTGTAAAATTTGGGGGGAAAAATTATAAAAGGGGGGGGTATGATAAAAACATCCCCCCCACTTTAATAATTTTCCCACCAAATTTCAACAGCATAATCTCAGGGGCAAAAAAACATATCAGGACCAAAAGCAAATTTGGTTGGGTTGACCAAAAGCAAGATGGGTAGTTCCCTAGGGCAGGGTTCCTCCACCTTGGCGACTTGAAGATGTGTGGACTTCAACCCTTGCTGGCTGGGGAATTCTGGGAGTTGAAGTCCACACATCTTCAAGTCGCCAAGGTGGAGGAACCCTGCCCTAGAGCACAGACAAGAAAACCATACCTCTTCTGATGTAAACACTGCCAGCTTTGGTATTGTCCAATGCCCCTTCTGCTTGCAGTCTGGGAAACGGTGATACCGTGCCACGTTCATGGCATACATGTTGGAGATGGACCCTCCTACCAAGGAAAAGAACCCAGAGAACTGTTCATTGACCAGCTCAGGACTATTTTAAAGTCAAATCTTAAGGTTAGCATCTCATTCCCAGACATTTCCAGTGAATCAGGATATAAACATAACGAATGGCAGAAATCCGTTTCATTTGGATGATCCAGAATGAACGTTGGGTGCATGTCAACTTGAAAACATGTAAAAGCAAAACAACAAACACCAGGTTCTAGATCTTACACACCGGGGCAGAAGATTCCATCGCCTTTTTCCCAGCCAATCAGCTCTCGCAGTTTCTTCAACACCACCTCCTCCATCAAGACAAAGACAGGTGCAATCTCATACGTGTACCTAGAACACAAAAGGTCTTATGAGCCTCCTCTGAGGAACAGCCAAAATAGTCAGCAAATTATTGGAGGGATGGTGAAGGCATCCGTTTAGGTTAGGAATGAAAGTAGCTAGGGCATGCCGCCCGTCTGGTCTTTAGGAAAACTGCCATGACCTATCTATTCCAACTAGCATAGGAGGAGGGGGTGCTCTGATAGGTTCGCAAGTGCAGGACTTTTATAGTTTTCAGATTTTTTAAAAATTTTGATTTGTCTTTTTTTTGCTTATAGAAGTTTTTAATCTTAAGATGAGATTGTTAACTGTTAGCTTTCAAGAGTCAGCAGTATACAACTGAAGTCAATCAGTAAATCTGTAAACAAATAAATAAAACTTTGCAGGGACAAAGACAAGGGAAGCAGACCCCCCCCCTTCTCCTCTTCTTGCCCCCTACATCTTGCTCCACACGGTCAACAAATCTGATAGCACAGAGTAGGACTAACACAGCTGGGCTGCAAGGAGACTTTTCTGTATCTCTTTGCTGCCATGACTAGTAATCATCCAACTTTTCGCAGCCCTCACAACAGAAGCCACAGCAGATGAACAGTCATGGACCCTATGAGAATTCAACTACTGGGAGCAGAGTGGAGATAAATTGACAGCCTAGAAAGGGCTTTAGGTTCGAAATAAAGTCATCCTACCAATGCACATCTCCTGAGTAACATGGCATTTTCATTTCAGTATTTACTCACTTGCAGAGATAGAATGCAGTGATGGGTAAGATGGGAGAAACCCAGGTGCCAATTTGCATTCAACCACTACATTCACTGGCAGGCTTTGGGCCAGTCACTGGGCTGATTCACATTAAACCAAGATTTTTTTAAGCAAGCACATCCTATATCACACTCAGTTCCAACCAAAGAAACCACATTTTGGGTTAGCTTTATGTACGAACCAGAATATTTTATCTCAGCTTAAATTATTCCACAGGGGAATAATGTGAGGATAAAAGGAAGAGGGAAAACTACATGTATAGCACCTAATTCAGCTCAGTGTCTCTGCCGTTTGCCATGTAGGGAGAAATGTTAATATAGTGATATCAAATTAGTTCCCTCCTGCCCCCTCAAAATCCATTTACTAGAGAGATGCTACTGCAGTTAGTAGCCTCAGAGCAAATGTTTCATGATCAGAGGAATGCTATTCTGTCATGCTTCCTGAATCAGAGAGAAAGAAGATTATTTGTACTATATTATTATATATCACAGTAGATTACAGTAATTGTTGCTCATAGGACATACGATCATTCTACTTTTGTCTCTGCAAGTTTGGATTGTTTCAAAACCTTGACAAACTTATCTGATACTGCAACAGGGGAGGACATTAATGGAATTTGTGGGTACAGTACATCATAAAAAGCAAAGACTTTTCTCCAAACCACTTTCAAATGTTGACTCTTATAAAAATTACTGTCTCTAGTCCAAGAAAGCAGCAGTGGAGTTCACTTATGCTGTAGCTGAGCCCTAGGGATTCTTTTCCCTTTTTGTTTTTTAAAAATGCCAACATATATTAGAAAGTGGAGAACACATACTGGCTAGTGTTGAGCATCTCTGTGATCATCCGTCCAGCCAGAGCATGGGGATCAAGCCCAGAAAATAGCTGATTGCAGAAGCGTGGATGACCTGGAAGAAAGAAACATCTTCTGTGTTCCTTTGGATCTGGGATCAGCCATCCAACTCCATCACTTTTACTGAATATAATCCTCTTTCATAGTAAAAGACTGAGGCTTGTAGCTTTGCACATCAAGAGGAAATGAAATGTGCAAAAGGAAAATACTTGTTTTTCAAAATAGCCTCCATGGAAGTTTTTAATATTTTCTTTGCCATTACAGATATTAATGTGAATATTGTTGCAACATGAACATTTACTAAAAGCTCATTTGTATTACCAGAACTAATATTCCTTAGTGTTTTCCCGAATCTCAGCTTTTTGTTTACATTTCGATCACCTTCCAATAATTGTGCAAGAACTATTTTAAATTCACTTGCCCTTATACTTAATAAAATAACTAAAGTATGTGTGTAGATAGATAGATAGATAGATAGATAGATAGATAGATAGATAGATAGATAGA